TCCTGCATCCATGCCGTGTTGGATGCCTTCCTCCACAAAGAGCTTCCACATCTTCACAACGAACAACTTTCAGCAGTGGAGGGGTCGGATATTTTCTTATTACAATGGAATGGTAACAATGGTCGTTGATTTTGTAAATGATATTTCTTATTACAATGGAATGGTAACAATGGTCGTTGATTTTGTAAATGATATTTCTTATTACAATGGAATGGTAACAATGGTCGTTGATTTTGTAAATGATATTTCTTATTACAATGGAATGGTAACAATGGTCGTTGATTTTGTAAATGATATTTCTTATTACAATGGAATGGTAACAATGGTCGTTGATTTTGTAAATGATATTTCTTATTACAATGGAATGGTAACAATGGTCGTTGATTTTGTAAATGATATTTCTTATTACAATGGAATGGTAACAATGGTCGTTGATTTTGTAAATGATATTTCTTATTACAATGGAATGGTAACAATGGTCGTTGATTTTGTAAATGATATTTCTTATTACAATGGAATGGTAACAATGGTCGTTGATTTTGTAAATGATATTTCTTATTACAATGGAATGGTAACAATGGTCGTTGATTTTGTAAATGATATTTCTTATTACAATGGAATGGTAACAATGGTCGTTGATTTTGTAAATGATATTTCTTATTACAATGGAATGGTAACAATGGTCGTTGATTTTGTAAATGATATTTCTTATTACAATGGAATGGTAACAATGGTCGTTGATTTTGTAAATGATATTTCTTATTACAATGGAATGGTAACAATGGTCGTTGATTTTGTAAATGATATTTCTTATTACAATGGAATGGTAACAATGGTCGTTGATTTTGTAAATGATATTTTCTTATTATAATGGAATGGTAACAATGGTCGTTGATTTTGTAAATGATATTTTCTTATTATAATGGAATGGTAACAATGGTCGTTGATTTTGTAAATGATATTTTCTTATTATAATGGAATGGTAACAATGGTCGTTGATTTTGTAAATGATATTTCTTATTACAATGGAATGGTAACCATGGTCGATAACATTCAATCCACATTGCAAAACATAACACATCAACATCAAAAACACATCCATTAATTTCTTCCATAATTGTAACATTGTCAAATGCATACATGTGTCATGCGACATCAACAACATCAAAAGTCTCTCGAGTAGCTACATTATCATGAATAATGTCCTTGAAATGTTGAATGCGACGCACATATGCATCATCCCAGTCCACAGCGCAAGGGTGACGGTATTTTCTCCAATTAGTGGCAATAGGAGGAACTGGATGGCCTGGCTGCAACAAAACCTGCACCAAATATCAATTGACTTAGTGGTCATACCTCATAACTTCTTGTACATGCATAAACGCAATTGATAAGTTTCTGTTATACCTGCACGAAATGATTTCCGTTGACAAACCCAATGGCAATCTCACGTCTATCAAGTTGAGGTACTGGCACGGTTCTAAGAGGTAAAAATGTGAGACATTGCTGTAAAGACAAGTGGTATAACACAAGATTGTAGCACGATGCAACAAGATGGCCCATGTCTGGCATAGTCATCCAATGTGAGTATCCAGGATTGTCTTCAAAGTATGACAATATGCTTGTCAATTCTTCAAACCTTTCATAGGACCCATAAAGTGTAATGTATTCCTCTTTGTGTGTGTGCAGCTCACCCAATAGGTCACGCCTAACCTGAGCCCAATCATCTTCTGTATGACCAATTGAAGCAGCTATAGCCTTGAAACCACAATTCCCATCTGCAGCTACATCCTTGACAAACTTAATGTATGGTTTCAACCCAGAAGGGAAAGCGTCAACATATGCACCATGTTTCACTGTTCTAGTAATGTACACCTTCCCTTTCGCATTCACCTTCTATTTTCCCTTAACAGGTCGCTTCTTCTTGGTTTGTAGAGTAGAAGCTAATGTAGTGATTTGAGTGTCCCTAGGTGAGAAGGAATCATGTCCAGATTGCACTAACTCAAATGCACACGGGTCACGACGGGTAGAAACATTGATCTTCTTATGATCCCGAGGACGTGTTTTGGGCTTCACCTCCGGCTCAACAAGAAAAGTGCTTTCCGGATATACAATCTCTTTCAACTTCTTCAAAAGCTCCAATTGCATGGTTCTATCACTTTCATTAAACTTGTTGAGAAACAACTCTACTTCTGCATGACAAGTCACCTCTGTTTCCTCTTCTTTCTTGCATATGGAGATATGAAGTTGCCTCCACTGTGAGTGTATGGTAGCAAGTGGTATAGGACGATCTTGTCTGATGTAGTCAGCAATCTCATGGGCGCAAGGTAAACCATGAGTGTGGCGAAGGACGCATCCACAAGCTTCAACATCAATACCAATGGAATTGGCTCTCTTACTCTCGACAAGCAAATACTCCAATGCAGAGATAGACACATTCCCCCGTAGCTCCCTGAATTGAGAAGGTTTAAATTGATGTTGCACAACAGTTAGACTTTTCTCAAATGAAGCCTTGATATCAGTGTGTTGCAACTCAAGCAGACTGTGTATTTTCTCAAATGATGCCTGAAATGAGACTTGACATGAACCCAATTGTCTTTTAAGTTTTGCATGTGCACTCTCAGCCCTGTTCAATTCAATGTAAGTCAAGTTAAAATCAAGTACATGGCAGTTATTAATAACATATTCAACAAAAGTAATGTTACCGGTTCGTTGTAACATTGCCACAATGCATACACGTGTCTGTCCATGCCGCCACAAATTTGTCCTTGTAAGGAACCAACCAAGTATCCATGACATATTTGACTGCATCAGGATAACTACTGAATTCCTTAAGTAATGATTTAAGACGCTCCTCGTATTGAATTTCAGAAGATGAATACACTACAGAGTTCCACTCATGGTTGAACTTCTCCCATTTTTGCTGTGTCTCAAACATTTTCTTGCATTTGGTCAACACATTCTTACTGATATGCCAATGACATAATAAATGTTTGCCACTTGGGAATATCTTCTGTATGGCATTCATCAAGGCTAGCTCTCTGTCAGTAACAATAACTGTTGGCACAACAAACCCATCCATGACATCACGTAATGTAGCTAACACCCACGCATAGTTATCAGCCCTCTTATACTGTAAGTATGCAAAAGCTACAGAGAATGTCATTTCAGTTGATGTCACTCCCACAATTTCAAGAAGAGGAAGCCGATATCTGTTGGTTTTATATGTGCAATCCATAATTAATATACGTGGGAAAGACCGAAATAAGTCCAAACTGGTAGGATGTGCCCAAAACAAGTCTGTCACAGTCATCGTGGACTCTTCAGACCGATGACGCTCAATGCAATTATACTTGGCCAATTCACCCAATAAGTGTTGCATCTGTGATCTTCTAGCTCTCTGTACCACCCTGTTTCGATGGCATACATTGTAAATGGTTTTAAGTGTGCTTACATTGAGGGCATCTCGTTATTTCAAGGTTACTAGGATTTATTTTGGCCGAATCATGCTCTCTGACATATCCATTAACAATGCTTTCTCATCCTTTGATAGCCTCTCCGCATATGAATGTCCTTCAAGGTGCTCCGTAGGTGGATGATTATGCAATCCGCATACTACGGTCAATGTCCATTCATCATGTGTGGTAAACCTGTGAGCCCTCATATCAAAAGGACAACCACACTTCTTCGTACCGATTATTCTTAATGTATTGTTGCCATCATGTTTTAACTTCTTTGTCGCTCTATATTGGTCACTCCTTTCACAAGCAAGATACATCCTGGGTCTTTTTTCACTCCACCATAGTCTGATGTTTTGATTACAATGTCCAAACCATTTATCTTTCCAACTTCACGTACCTAGTTGAGCAATTCATCCTTACTTTTGAATACCTACAAAGTCAAATAAATATTATCAAACATTTACATTTGGTGAGCAATTCGAAACATAATCATTATAATTTCGTAGAGTGAACATGTTCAGTTGTGAATTGAGTAGTGCAATCCAACACAAAATCCGCGCAAACCTGACTTCCTTGAGTTGACACATATTCTTACATGTTTTGTATAACATTACAAATTTTTAATGGCATTACAAAGATTAATGGCAATTCGAAATTGTAAATTTTTAATGGCATTATAACATTAAAATTTTTTAATGGCAATTCGAAATTGTAAATTTGGTATGCAGTTTGCAAATTTGGAATATAAAATGAGAATTTTTTTTTTTACTTCATTCGGAAGTAGTTGTCCGAATTTATTTTAAAATTTCGGAAGTTGAATGTTGTAAAAGTAAACTTTGTTCGAACAACAACTTTCGAATTTAAATATTTTGTTCGGATAACAACTTCCGAAATTAATCACTTTGTTCGGACAACAACTTCTGAAAATAAATACTTATTTCGGTAATAGATTTCCGAACCAAATAATACAATTCGACTCTGGTTATCCGAATGACGCTGGAAAAAAAAGAAGAAGAAGAGAAACTCACATTTCCTTCGCTATGTTTCTCATAAACACTTATTTGCTGATTTTCAGAAGGCAAATCCTCCATAACAATGATGCTTTCCCTATGAATGAGGAAGGTTGATAAATAAGTGCATTGAGAAGCTACGAATACTCTGCTTTCACTTCTAGCTCAATGAAGCTACAAACTTGGAGACGTTTTGCTTTGGATGGATGTGTGCACGATGCAACAGATGTGAACTCTAAATAGATGTGTGCATTGAGATGTTTTGAATTAATAATGATGTCTAAAATAGTAATTTTACTGAGGGATAAAATTGTAATAAAATTAAATATGATTAACTGTGTATATAGAGTGGATTTGTTGTATGAGACAGAGGCTCCCCGTTCAGATTCAAGATTCATCTTAACTTCCTTCACGTCTTCAGATTCATTCAGACTTCATTTCAATTCCATTCGATTCTGATCTCGAAACGATCAATCAATCAAGCATAAAAAAAAAAATATGAGCAATCTGAGAACGATTTGTAGACCTCACGCGGTGTTCTCGTCGATCGCGTGCTGTTGCAGGGACCGAGCTCGGTCTCGATCGAGATCTGTCGTTAGGGTTTCGATTCGGAACCCTAATTCCAAGCCTCGTCTTTCTTCGCCCTCTGTGCTTTCTTCTTGGTTCGATTCCTCTGACGTGCCCAAATATGAGCCCTGGGTGAGATTGAATCAGAGGAAGACGATGGTTAGGGCGTCGAAATGGACCGAAGCGAAATCTCCCTACGAAACTCTCGGTAATTTGGTAGTTTTTTTGTGGTTATTTTCACTCGATCCTTTGTTTGGATGCCGAGAAAGTTATTTGGGAGAAACTAAAGAAGGAAAAGTTGAGTGAATTTTTCTAATTAACTTTGAAGGTAGCTTCAGATTTTAGCTACCAAACATAGCTTGAAAGTGTATATATTGTTTTCAATATCAGATATTTAAAGTTTTTTTTTTTAAATATTATTTTGGATATGTTTTAGATGCACATAACTCTCTGTAGGTAGCCACTGTAGAAAGAAATGAAGATGTTTAAGAGGATTTTACTTTCTGTTTGTAAAGAGGTGAGAAGCTCTACATCCTCTATTATATCATTGTTCTAAGGTGTTCTTTTGGATATGTGTTGGCTTAGAAGAGTGGAGGTTAGTTGAAAATTGGAAAGTTAAAAGGAGATTCAAAACTGTGCAATTGCACATGCATGTTGAGGTTTGCAAGAAAATAAACTAGCTGGGTTCATCTTCCTTACTAGCAAATACCTATCAATAAAATATTCCTCGCAAACAGTCATATTCTATAAAAAAACTATGATCTTTTAGGGTATAGAATTGTATACATTGTAATTTTAACTAAAGACCTTATGTTTAGAAAATAACCAGTCAAACAAGAAATTATATTATATTATTTGAAGTATGGGAATGAAGCTCCAAATTCTTAGATTAATAAGAATATGATGTGTAATGTTACTGAATTTGTATTTGACCATGCTATGCAATGCAAGTGTATTTATTCATGCTTCATGTCCAGATCTTTGATAAAGATCTATTTTTGACCCCTATATAATGAGATGATAGAATTAGATTACTTTAGACTTTGCTGCAAAGTATATTTCTTTTCCAGCATGTTGTATTTTTCCACCCTTAATCATTAGCCCCACTTGTGATGGGGTATATGTGATATGATATGTATGCAATTCAAATGAAATTTTAAAAAACAATGTATACTTATGTGTATTGCCACCTAACTCCACGTTATTTATCAAATAAAAAGATGACTGAAAAAGGGTAACATTTTTGTTTTGTTATTATTTTTTAACGCCGATCACCAGACCCTAAAGCTTTCCCAGGGGATGCTTTCTATGGCGTAAGCTAGAACTTGTTATGCGAGGAATGATTAGGCCATAGCTAGGTGAACCAAACTGATCAAAAACATAGTCCGTACTAAAAGTTTAAAATAAAATATCAAAATAGAATAACATTTATAATAATTATAATGTTTTTATTATGATCATTATTTTTATTATTATTGTAGCTGGTTCTGTCCACTCTTGTTATCGAATATTTCTAATAAAAGTATTACCAGTATTTGTGTCAAAGAAGTAAAGAACATTTTGTGGCAATGTACATTCTATGCCAAAGTTGAATTGAACTTGTTGCATGTGTGTATGCCTGTTTAAGATGTATTAGTAGAAAAATTTTATCCTTTTATCTAATTAAGTATGAGACATGCTCTTTACTGTCTCCTATTTTACTTTATTTCATTAGTAATGATGAGTAATTTACAGTATCTAATGTTTTGCTTACAAATGCAGAGTTGGAAAGGGATGCTGATGAAGAGAACATAAAGTTAGCTTATAGACGTTTGGCCAAGTTCTACCATCCAGATGGTATGCTCTTCATTTCAGTTCTTACAAGTTTCTAAGTGTAATAAATCATTGGATTAGAATGCTTAAGGTGTTAATACCTTATGAACTGTGGATACACAAATTTTTATTTTTATTTTTTTTAGCCAATGGGTGTCTTCAATGGCTTTGCTCTTGTATTCTAGATATGAAAAATTAAGGCATATTAATGTCGGCAATAATAAATAAATAAATGAATAACACTTCTGGTACACTTTGGGGTAAAGTATCTTTCTTTGCATTGTAGTCCTAATTTTCGTGAAACCATGTTGGATATTGTATTTGCTGTTTAGGTGATCCCTAAATTGCTTTTTGAAGGAGACCCTTTCTCTTCCTCTTTGTTGTCATCATTCTTCTAATGCCATGTTGCATCCTAATGAGGTGGGAGATTGTTCTTAATTATAAGCAGGAAAATTGGAAATGTATGAGGATATACAATGTCAAAACAACTTAGCTGCCTCTATCATTCTCTCTGTTAGGAATTTCTGCCCATTAAATAGGATGCAATTCACATGAAAGGTTGCACCCAAAAAAAAAAAAAAAAAAATCATATGAAAGGGAAACGGCCTAATATCAGTTCAGGATAGCCTCTATTTCGCCAAAACGGCTGGTGTCTATGCCGATTGGACTTGTATGATCAATCATTCCAGGTTTCAGTGTCTGCATAGACATTAGATCCATCTAGCTTCCAAATGACTTTACATGGGGACACACACAATATAAGTCATCAAATCATCTTTCTACGACAAAGAGAAGCAAGGAAGTTTCAGTCATATGAAATATTTATAAAAAACAAAGGAATATTAAGAGAGCATGCTTTGAAACTTCTAGCAAAGAAATTCTTGTCGCTTTCTTTTGTCAAACATGCATGCTCATTTCATACTTGACACCTATCATATCTGGCCCTTAACTTGTACTCAAGCCATACTATGTTGTGCCTTATGTAAGTTCTTTTCACAGTTTGAATCCATGTAATTTTGCTGACTCTTGTGCTGATTATTATTATTTTTTCTTTCTGATATATATTCCTGTATAAACATAATCATGACTTTTCAGTTTCTTGTCCCATTGTATAAATTATATGAATACATGCATATTGTTATTATTACTTATGTAATGGCTAAATGTTACTGTCTTGTACTTTATGACTGATATACGTGGATATAGATAGCCTTTCCCGACGCCCTGAATAAATTGAAAAGATTTGATCTTAATATAAATAAGTTTGGGCCCTCTGTTTGCACAACTACTAGTGGTGGTTGGGGTTGAGCAGTTGAACTTTGCCATGAATATTGCTCAACCCATATTTAAATTTCACCACCTGAGCTATGAATCTAGATCACATTGGCCATCCAAATATACCTTCATAACTCCAAATTCAATTCATCAAAAACTGTCGACGGTTTTGCTTTCATCACTTATCCTTATAAAACGCCTTGTATGTTGTGTTTCTGGTTCGTAGGACTGTGACTAAGCCACAGTAGTTAATATGTACCATATAAGAATAGAAGAGAACGGTTGTGCGACGTGGACACCAGCTCAACTCAGTATTGGATACTGTTGTAACTTTGAACCATGAATTAGTAGCATCTAGTTTTTCTGGAAATCTTATTTTGTATAATCTGCCACAATAGCTTATTTAACCTAACACTTTGGGACTTTCATCCTTTTATGAAAGTAACAGTCAATTTCTGTTATCTATCCATGTTGAAAAGTTAGCATCTGGTCACAGACATGAAACTGATCCTTTCTTCTGTCCTTCTGTCCTAAGTATATGATGGTAAGGGGACCCTTGAGGAAGGGGAAACAGCCGAAGCTCGATTCATCAAGATTCAAGCTGCTTATGAACTGCTCATGGATGTGGAGAAGCGAAGGCAATATGATATTGATAATCGAGTCAACCCCATGAAGGTGAAATTTTGATTATTTTAACAGTTAATATCATATTTTATTATGAGTTGCAAAGTTTCGATTTTGAATTTTGTTGGGGAAAATGTAGGGATTTTTTGACACTAGCCGTTTGTGTCTATTTGTGAAAATTGTATGCCAAAACAAAAAATGAAATTGAAAAAGGAATAAAACAAAATGAAGCATGACACAAAGGGTGCTGCAAAATCAATTCTATACCATCCACTCTATGATAATCTTTTTTCTTTGGTACGAAAGGATATCAACTACCTCTATATTAACATGGACAAAAAAATAAACAAATAAACAAAAGCAAAACGAACAAAGAATGACCAACAAATAAATGGAACAGCAAGAAATGCCAATGATTTTCTCAAATAGATTTATCATCTTTCGACAGAGTACATTATGATGCGAAATATGAGATTTTCTCTGGCAACTCATACTAATTCAAAATGTGTATAAAGATCAAATTTATGCCAAAACCTTAATTACTCAAAGACAAAGTCCACAGTGTGCTTGTAAAATTCCTAATTTGTTCCTTTTGTGTTGGAAAGCTTTCCGTAAATAGGTGTTTGTGCTTTGATATAATTAAATGCAAGATGCAGCATCTTCCATTTGGTGTCATCCGTACAAATTCTTTCTTCATGTTCCTTTTAATTTCAAGTTCTTGATGGTTGTGTTCTCTGAATATTATGGTGGCATGTTTTCAATTGAAACAGTTACTGCTTTCAATATTTTATTTGATTCACTTTAAGCTGTGAGATTATTATGGAGCTGGGAGTTGTGATGCAAGGCCCCGTCATAGTTTGTTAGCTTATTTCTTTCTCCTCCGGGCACCTCACTGCACATAGATCTGGTAATGCTTGAAGGTCATATGATAAGTTGAGATCTTGACTGAAGTGATTTGAGTCATTTATTTCTCCACTGAACCTGTATATTGAGTTTTTCTTGTTGCCTCTATTTAGTCAAAAGTTGTCAATTTCGGATCATAATTTTAAGTTTCACAAAATACATAGGTCTAACTCCCACACATTTGAAGTGTAGATTCTTTGGAGGGATGAATTTCTTCTTGTAGAAAACTTTCTTAACTTAAATGTTTTCCTTCATCGCTTAGTAGTTTCTCATTTTGTTGTGTTTATGGCTATGTTTGTCAGGCATCTCAAGCATGGATGGAGTGGCTTATGAAAAAGCGCAAAGCTTTTGACCAGCGGGGTGATATGGCTGTTGCAGCTTGGGCTGAGCAGCAGCAGCGTGAGATGAATCTCCGCGTGCGCCGTCTTTCTCGTTCAAAGGTGTTGAATTATTCTCAATATTCCTACAATGATTCGGATATTGCTCTTCAACTCCATAATGATCTATGGAAAGTCCATTACCTAATATAATCCAACTCATCGTGCATAATTATTTTCCAGAATTTGTATATACTGAAATTATGACATAATAGATTGGGAAGCATTACATTTGGATCTATAGAATGGGTTAATATGACATATATATATATATAGAGAGAGAGAGAGAGAGAGTGATAATAATCACTCTGTTTGATTATGTTTTCGTTTTTTGGTTTTTGTTTTTTTGAAATTAGAAAAAAAAAAATGTTCCATTTTTTATTTTTGTTTTCATTTTTGTGTTTTCAGAAAACAAAGGTGGGTTGTTTCAGAAAGTTTTCGGTAACAATTTTCAAATGTTTTTTTATTTTATTTTTTATTTTTATTTTTTTATAAGTAAAATATATATATATATCAAATTTTAGATTAGTAGCTTAAAATCTTAATTTTTGATTTTTATCATTTTCATTCAGTTATGTGTCTTTTAATTCAAAGTAAGATCATTCGAACCAAATTATTTTTCCTAACATTATTTTAATTAATACTACACTTGAAATAGATATTTTAATCAATTCCAAACCTACACATTTTATTTTAATTACATTTTGAGCCTAAATCATTCTTTATACATATAAAAGTACACCCCTAATATTATAATCTCTTTTTTCAAAATATCTACAATATGTATATATATAGATAAATGAGAAAAGTCCCTTAAATCTATATCAAATGGCCGGCCACCCTAGCATATACACTTGTAGTATACTTTTGAAAATAACATTGCATGATTCATGGAGACAAATTTGACCTTAGTACCATAATTCAAGCAAATTTTACTGCAAGAATCTGCACTTTTAGTGATCACTTTCCGCAATCAATATAAAAGTTGGTAACTAAAAGTTACCTTTTGGCGACCAAATATTAATTAGTCGCGAATGATTATTAATTTTGGTGACCAAATTTTATTGGTCGCAGAAGGTTATATTTTGGCGACCAAAAAATATGTTGGTCACAGAAAGTGGTATACTTTTGCCGACCAACTACAAATTTGGTCGCGGAAGGTCACATATTTTTTGGCGACCAAAAATTTGGTCGCGAATAACTTATTTTCAGCAACCAAAAAAAATTAGTCGCCAAATTAGTACTTTTAGCGACTAATATTTTAGTCGCCGTTGATTGAGATTTAAGGCGACTAAAAAAGTTTGTCGGCGAAAGTACTTTTTCTGCGACTAATATGGTCTTTTGGTCACCAAAAGTGTGGGGGGGAAATTTGAAACATGGAGGGGGGAAATGAATACCAATTCGTAAGAAATGAGATTATCCATTCCCGCCACTGCCATACGGGAATGGCTCTTTCGTTCCTCTCAGTCTCAGGTCGGCCATCGGCCTCTCTCATCAGTTGCCTCACCGCTCCTCCAGCTTCGCCGCCACTAAACCCTAACCCAACCGCCTTACCCTCCTTAACCTGCGCCCTCCAGTGCCCTCACTTCCAATCGTACGCATCACCACTTCACGTCTCTATTTCTCTTCACTTGTCGACTCTCTTGGCATCTCATTACAACGACGACTATCGCTTTGTTTTTGCAGATGTTCTGGTTGCACTCAAGAGTACAATCTCCACTGTCCGATCATCCTCGACGAGGCCACCAACTTCTTCAACAAACACGGCGTATCTGACTTCACCTTCGATACTTGTAGACTCGTATGTCCTCCTCCTTGTTTACTTTCTCAATTAGGTTTTTTTCGTAATTAGGGTTTTGATAACATTTTCGCCCTTTACAGTGGGGATGGAGGTGCCGCGCAAAACTCGCAGTTCGGGGCTCATCCACCGACCCTCTCATTGGGCTCTATCAAGAGGGTACTTATAATGTAGTTGATATTCCTGATTGTAAAGGTCCGATACTCGAGTTTTTATGTGATTGTGTACTGAAATGTTTTTTGGTTTGTCTTTGAATTATATTCTAAGGTTCGTGTTCTTGGTTGTATAGCTCACCATCCAAACAAAAAATAGGTTTTGAGAGGAGATATTGGGTAATTCGGTTAACTGGGTTTTGATTTCGTCTTTTCATAACAACTAAATGATTTGGGGTTTTACGATAGTTTTAGGGTTTATGTATATATATATGTTTTGTATTGCAGCAATAGGTTTCTCTCTTTCTTAATCTTTTCTGACTCTTAATCGTAATGTATAGCTTATTTGTTTCTATTCATTAATTCAGTTTTCACTGTTATTGCATTCATTTTGGAAGTTCTCTTCCTCATAGTCATCCACATTGTTTGTTTTATTTATGAATTTTTTTGCAGGTTGCAACAATGTATGCAGTGATGTTAGATACTGATTATATGAACAAACCTACATTCAAAGAGAATTTTATGAATGACTGGAGAAAAATACTTGGGAAAAACCATGTAATTCAGAAGTTGGAAGATTACGATTTCATCCCAATATATGAATGGCATCAAAGGGAAAAGGAGAAGAAGAAGCAAATGAGTTCAGAAGTAAGTTTATTGCCTACAAACTTTTTGGCTTTGTGATGCAAATTGATACTGGAACTCTAGATGAGTTTATAAATCTTTAACCAAACAATATTCTCTTACTTTTACTCTGTTTTTGTTTCCAAAAGTTACCATTAACCAATTCTGTTTTTGAATCTGTATAATTTTGCTGCCTCTTGTGCTAATTATTATTATTTTTTCTTTCTGATATATATTCCTGTATAAACATAATCGTGACTTTTTAGTTTCTTATCCCATTGTATAAATTATATGAATACATGCATATTGTTATTACTCATGTAATGGCCAAATGTTACTGTCTTGTACTTTATGATTGATATACGTGGATATAGATACCCTTTCCCAAGGCCCTGAATAAATTGAAAAGATATGATCTTAATATAAATAAGTTTGGGCCCTCTGTTTGCACAACTACTAGTGGTGGTTGGGGTTGAGCAGTTGAACTTTGCTATGAATATTGCTCAACCCATATTTAGATTTCACCACCTGAGCTATGAATCTAGATCACATTGGCCATCCAAATATACCCTCATAACTCCAAATTCAATTCATCAAAAACTGCCGACGGTTTTGCTTTCATCACTTATCCTTATAAAACACCTTGTATGTTGTGTTTCTGGTTCGTAGGACAATGACTAAGCCACAGTAGTTAATATGTACCATATAAGAATAGAAGAGAATGGTTGTGTGACATGGACACCAGCTCAACTCAGTATTGGATACTGTTGTAACTTTGAACCATGAATTAGTAGCATCTAGTTTTTGTGGAAATCTTATTTTGTATAATCTACCACAATAGTTTATTTATCCTAAAACTTTGGGACTTTCATCCTTTTATGAAAGTAACAATCAATTTCTGTTATCTATCCATGTTGAAAAGTTAGCATCTGGTCACAGACATGAAACTGATCCTTTCTTCTGTCCTAAGTATATGATGGTAAGGGGACCCTTGAGGAAGGGGAAACAGCCGAAGCTCGATTCATCAAGATTCAAGCAGCTTATGAACTGCTCATGGATGTGGAGAAGCGAAGGCAATATGATATTGATAATCGAGTCAACCCCATGAAGGTTTCATCACTTATCCTTATAAAACACCTTGTATGTTGTGTTTCTGGTTCATAGGACAGTGACTAAGCCACAGTAGTTAATATGTACCATATAAGAATAGAAGAGAATTGTTGTGCGATATGGACACCAGCTCAACTCAGTATTGGATACTGTTGTAACTTTGAACCATGAATTAGTAGCATCTAGTTTTTCTGGAAATCTTATTTTGTATAATCTGCCACAATAGTTTATTTATCCTAACACTTTGGGACTTTCATCCTTTTATGAAAGTAACAATCAATTTCTGTTATCTATCCATGTTGAAAAGTTAGCATCTGGTCACAAACATGAAACTGATCCTTTCTTCTGTCCTAAGTATATGATGGTAAAGGGACCCTTGAGGAAGGGGAAACAGCCGAAGCTTGATTCATCAAGATTCAAGCAGCTTATGAACTGCTCATGGATGTGGAGAAGCGAAGGCAATATGATATTGATAATCGAGTCAACCCCATGAAGGTGAAATTTTGATTATTTTAACAGTTAATATCATATTTTATTATGAGTTGCAAAGTTTCGATTTTGAATTTTGTTGGGGAAAATGTAGGGATTTTTTGACACTAGCCGTTTGTGTCTATTTGTGAAAATTGTATGCCAAAATAAAAAATGAAATTGAAAAAGGAATAAAACAAAATGAAGCATAACACAAAGGGTGCTGCAAAATCAATTCTCACTTTGAAAATCTTTATATACCATCCACTCTATGATAATATTTTTCTTTGGTACGAAAGGATATCAACTACCTCTATATTAACATGGATAAAAAAATAAACAAATAAACAAAAACAAAACGAACAAAGAATGACCAATAAATAAATGGAACAACAAGAAATGCCAATGATTTTCTCAAATAGATTTATCATCTTTCGACAGAGTACATTATGATGCGAAATATGAGATTTTCTCTGGCAACTCATACTAATTCAAAATGTGTATAAAGATCAAATTTATGCCAAAACCTTAATTACTCAAAGACAAAGTCCACAGTGTGCTTGTAAAATTCCTAATTTGTTCCTTTTGTGTTGGAAAGCTTTCCGTAAATAGGTGTTTGTGCTTTGATATAATTAAATGCAAGATGCAGCATCTTCCATTTGGTGTCATCTGTACAAATTCTTTCTTCATGTTCTTTTTAATTTCAAGTTCTTGATGGTTGTGTTCTCTGAATATTATGGTGGCATGTTTTCAATTGAAACAGTTGCTGCTTTCAATATTTTATTTGATTCACTTTAAGCTGTGAGATTATTATGGAGCTGGGAGTCGTGATGCAAGGCCCTATCATAGTTTGTTATCTTATTTCTTTCTCCTTTGGGCACCTCACTTCACATAGATCTGGTACTGCTTGAAGGTCATATGATAAGTTGAGATCTTGACTGAAGTGATTTGAGTTATTTATTTTTACACTGAACCTGTACATTTAGTTTTTCTTTGTTGCCTCTATTTAGTCAAAAGTTTGTTGATTTCAGATCATAATTTTAAGTTTAACAAAACACATACGTCTAACTCCCACACATTTGAAGTGTAGATTCTTTGGAGGGATGAATTTCTTCTTGTAGAAAACTTTCTTAAATTAAATGTTCCTTTATCTCTTAGTAGTTTCTCATTTTGTTGTGTTTATGGCTATGTTTGTCAGGCATCTCAAGCATGGATGGAGTGGCTTATGAAAAAGCACAAAGCTTTTGACCAGCGGGGTGATATGGCTGTTGCAGCTTGGGCTGAGCAGTAGCAGCGTGAGATGAATCTCCGTGTGCGCCATCTTTCTCGTTCAAAGGTGTTGAATTATTCTCAATATTTCTACAATGATTCGTATATTGCTCTTCAACTCTATAATGATCAATGGAAAGTCCATTACCTAATATAATCCGACTCATTGTGCATAATTATTTTCCAGAATTTGTATATACTGAAATTATGACATAATACAGATAGACTGGGTCCATTACCTAATATAGAGTGATAGTAATCACTCTGTTTGATTAAAGTTTTCGTTTTTTGGAAATTAAAAAAAAAATGTTCCATTTTTTATTTTTGTTTTTGGAAAACAAAGGTGGGTTGTTTTAAGAAAATTTTCTTGAAAACAATTATAAGTAACAATTTTCAAATGTTTATTTTAAACATGGTTTCTTGAATGTTGAGTCATTCGGTGGTTCTTGGGTGAATCTGCTTACTGATGATGATTAACTAGTGAGCAACTGCTTTCTGCTTGGTCGTTTCACTACTAGCCTCAAGCCTTTGAGTTCGTTCCTTCAATTCATGCACAGTATCTAATATTTGGGTTATTTTTCAAGTGATACCTATATTTTAGCATTTTGTGGTTTATGGTAGGATACTATTGAACTTGTTAAGAATTCAAAAGCTAATTACTGTTAGTTTTTCTGTCCATAACAAAAAGAATTGTAGGAATTTGTAAATTAGCAAACTAGTTGCAACCTTGCAATTCTACCAATGTAAATCATCTGTTCCTGTCAAAATGAAATTTATTGACTCTTTTTTTTTTACAAGACTAATGGAATGTAGCATTTGAAGAGTCTGAAGAAGCTTCAGTAGTAGTCCAGATAGTAACATTGGGAAGCAATCCAAAATTGGGAAGTCAATTTGATCTATCAAACCTTAGTCAGAAGCTAGAGTTTTCCCCCCTATGAAATCTCAATACTGTAACTGATATATGTAACTTGTTGTCATAGTTTGATTCCACTGTGCAATTCACTTCACTGTGTAACAAATTTGATGACATAAGAAAGGGTAGCTTGGATCTATTTAAAATTTTGTTCTCTATTTTTTCTGCTGCTGTTAACAATTTTCAACGGACTTCTCGCACATGCTTGGCTCACAGGCTTGTGAAACTATGAATATTGTGTATACCACTTTATATTCTTTTTTTGATAAGTAATCTCTCTTTTATGTTCATACACAACATGACCCATTCTTGATGTGCTATTGCATTTTTTTTACAAGTAAAAACTATTATATAAAAAGGCACCAAGGGGGCACCACCCAATTCTTGATGTGCTACTGCATTATGAGAAGTTTAATTTCTAGCAAGTGATCAAGTTTGATCATAAACTTTTTAATCATAATTTTTTTAAACCAAGTTATAGAGAAATTCCTGTCATTATTCTTTTTCTTTTATTGAAGACTATTAGTCTATTATATTTCTACGCATCCTTGATCATGTTAAATTTATTTCCTCATCTTCAAATTCTTCAAATTCCTCACTAGCTTTTGGCCTTTTATCATTCTGCAGGTTACAAACAGTCGAGGAGATGTTCTCCAATGTAGTCATTACATGCCTATTGTTCGTCCAGAAGGAAAGGCTTTGCCTTGTGTATTAATACAGGTTAGAAAATAAATGTGGATGAGTAGAGATTGTTCTTATAGAAAAAGTAAGGATAGTATATGGAATATCAAAGGTCTGTCTAATAATTTTTCTAAAAATATAGGTCCTTCACTTGCTTTCTGTCATAGTATGGATGAGTATTAAGCTGGTAGATAATTGAATTAGCTTTAACAAATTCATTCTGTAAATCTTTTAGTCATTTATAAATTGATTGATTTTCTTTGTTGTTTTCTCTTATCTCATGAAATGGACTAATCAATAATCTATATAATAAGGAAGATCTGTTTTTCAATTTAGATGGGACATCTATCTTAGGTGGCAATGAGATTGAAAGGCTAAGATTAGTTTGAGTGTTGTGTCTTTTTACCTTGATTGTTGGATATAGGCTTCAATTTTGAAACCCATTTCATCATTTCTCTTTTCTTCATCATCTCTCTCTTCAAACCATTTCAAACCCATTTCAGTTCACAACATTTCACTGCTTATCTCTTCAAACCCATTTCATTGTTTCTCTCTTTTTCATTGCAACAGTGGTTATATTCAAGCCCATTCCTCATCACTATTTCAGTGGCTCTTCGTTGCTTCACCGGCTCTTCGTTGCTTCGGTGGTTGTCGTCGATAACATCAAGATTATTCGCCTTCAGGTAACACCTCTCTCTTCCCCTCAAGGTTTCAGTCCCCCTCTTCCCAACCCCACCTGGAAATTTTCTTTGTTGTTTAGTTATTTATAAATTGATTGATTTTCTGAGTTGTTTTCTCTCATCTCATGAAATGGATTAATCAATAAATCAGACAATTTTTGGGAATTAATCAACACATTGTACAGTTTTTGGCCAGTAAGGGCTGTGTTTGTGTTTGTGTTTCTAAGGGTTTGAAAAATCTTCTATCCTGTTCGGCAAGAAACCCAGGAAATATATGATTTGGTGAAGACAAAAAGGGTTGTTTTACCATAGGAAACAAAACCAATAAAGGGCTCTTCTATCCTGTCTTTTATTTTTTTTGGTATGTATTGTTGCACAATTCTATCTTGTCTTTTCTTATTTACTTGCACAATTCTGGTAGTGAGCTTGACTTGGTGAAATGCGTTGTTTGGAGGATTTGGTGAAATGATTTTGCAGTTTGGTTGTAGTTTGGTTTCACTACATTTTTTCTTATATGGTTTTGTTTCATGAATAATTACATTTAAAAAAAAAAAAAAAAAACCGGAAAAAAAAGAAAGAAAGAAAGAAATAAGATGCTTCACTCAATTTCTTGGCCAATAAAGGGCTGTGTTTGTGTTTGTTTCATGAATAATTTCTTGGATTAAGATGTGTCAAGTTCTTGAAATGATTAGCTTTGTTACAGGAATTCACTCAAGTTTGATTGGAGTCTGATTTTGTTTGGAAGTGCCATGAAGATATCTTTAGGGATTGGCTTTATTTGTTGTTGTTTATGGTTAAGACGCTTTATATGGTTTCAATTACCTCATCTTTTCTCTCTCTCTCTCTCTCTCTTCCTCTCTCTCTCTCTCTCTTTTTTTTTTGGGGGGGGGTCTCTTTTCTCCTAAGAATCATGTCCAGCCATGTAAAAGAAGTAAAGAAAACTGTTGGTGAACTTATATGGTTTCATGATTTATATGGTTTCATGTCTCTT